GGGGGGGTTGAACTTAATTTTTTTAAAAAAATTGAGACATTATAACATGCTGACTTGGTTTCAGAATTCCGGAAATCCTATTTCTGAAGACCTCGATTTTAAAAATGTTCCGGAACCCACTACAGCTAACAGGGGACCACCTTCAACAGTCCTTATCTTGAGCACCCCTCCCCTCCCCCTCTAAAATCCTGTATCTGCCCCAGAGTGACTTGAAAGATTATCATCTGATGATACAATGTAGCTTCTAGCTGAACTCTAAATCCCTATCCCTCTGCCCCAAAGAAAACCACACCTTTAGTTTCACCAAGTCCAGCATGTTACATATTTCAGGCTTAGTATTACTAAATACTAACTATCAAGGCTTAGTATTAATAAATACTAACTATCATTTTGTTATGTACTTGACTTACTCTAGTCACAGCACTGGTACGACTCAATGGGTTGACCCAAGATTGGCGCAGGTCAAGAAGGCTACAGTTGATGAGTGTGACGATGATGGTAAGTGTGCAACTGCCATTTATTATTCCACAAAGAACCTTGTTGTTGAGCAGTCGGCCTTTTGTACTGCACTAGTTGCCAAATTGGCGACCTGTTCGTAAAATTTAGTTGCCAAATGTCACTTGCTATGGGGACGAAAATGGTTGCAGCTTGGAGTGTTACATCTGCAGCATACATATGTATTGAATATAAATTATAAATGGATATTAAATAATGATTAAATTTTTATTTAATTAACTAAATGCCCATTTGTTTGCAGAGTTACCATATGGATGGGAAAGAGTTGAGGATCCAAAGTATGGAACATATTATATAGAGTAAGTGTGTGATGCGACAAAAGATGCTGATCTTGAATCCAGTTCGCGAGAGAAACACCAATGACTAAGTGGTTAGCACAATGAATTTCATGAATATTTGTTTGGTTTGATTTATAGCCATGTCAACAGAAAGACTCAGTTTGAGAATCCTGTGCAAGCACGCAGACGACAGAGTCATTCAAGTAACATGTCATACTCTACTGCACCCCCGCCCCATGCGGGCCCACCTTCGTTTCAGTCAGCAGCGGCCTTGGCCAAAGCACAAGAAGCAGAGGCTCAGTCAAGGTCTGTGTGATCAATATTAACAGTAATATCTCCTTACATTATCGAGTACATTGTTAAGCAAACAAGTGATTAGAATAACAAAAACTGTTAGATATAATTATGTCAATGTAGATGTTGTCTTGATATTCTGGCGCCAGATTTACAAAGCTTTCTTAAGTTATGGTGATGGATGTAATAAGAAAAATGTTGACCACTCAGTGGCTGGGGCGGATCTAGGGGGGTTCTCCAAATTAAAAAAAATGAAACATTATAACATCTTGACTTGGCCTATGAATGCTGGAAATCCTATTTCCAAGGACCTCAATTTTAAACAATTTTTCCGGGGAGGATGCCCCTGGAACCCCCTTGGCAGTCCCCTTCTCAAATCCCCTAACCTAAAATCCTGTATCTGCACCAGAGCAGGTTTACAAATTTTTTAATATCAAAATTTTGTGCTGTTTTAGATGTTTTCTAGTATTTAATTCGCAAACCTGTTTGCTCCCTAGGTGGCCAGAAGTGGAGTTTTCTCAGCCATCTCCTCCAGCATACTCAGATGACAGCTCAAACCATCGTCCTAGAACTTACCCGTACTCCATCAATGGTAAACAACTGCAAGGTGAGGTTATAACAACAGAACTGCACAAAGGCTTACGTGGGTTTGGCTTCACTATCGTGGGTGGAGATCAAGTCGGAGAACTGCTGCAGATCAAGAGTATTGTACCTGATGGTGCTGCTGCAAAAGACGGCGTACTGAGAATGGGTGATGCTTTGACGAAAGTGAATGGAATGTCTGTGTTGTCCCGCAGTCATCAAGATGTGGTGAGCATGTTCCAGGCCATGCCATCAGGAGAGAGTGTTGAGTTGGAGGTTGTTCGCGGATATCCATTGCCCTTTGACCCTGATGATCCCAATGTGGAGACAATCGGCTCCTATACCGTGGTGCACGGACCGTCCCCTGGCTCAGAATCACCACTGCCACGATCTTCAGAAGAGAACAGCCCTGTGTTTCCAACCTATCCTCCACCCCATGGCCAGGCAATGAATAAGTGGAGTAGTTCACAAGGTACATGTATGGTACAAACCATAAACCTGTTTGTAACCTGAATATAGATAATATTTATGTGGTCAGTATTTACAATGTCGTCCGAAAAGATTGAAGGAAACTTTCACATATAACAATCTGAAAAAATAGGAAATATATCTTTGCATCCAACTAAAAAGTTATGATTTTTTTTGGACTAGTGTGGACTATTAGTAATAACCAAGGGGTTGGGGGAAGTGACAATTCCCAAAAATTGTGCATGGGTAAACTTTCAAAAGGAAAATACTGTGTGAAGCAAATGTTGCTATACATATATGTACTATGCATGCCTGACAAGTTGAAAACAAAAATCGTAATTTTTTTCATGTACCACCTCTCACTTGAAAAGAGCAGATTCTTATTTAGAGCAGATGATGGTGGTGTTGATCATCTTTTACTGCCTCTGTAGATGTCGTATAGAGCTGAAACCCAAATCACTTATTAATTAAAACAATTTAGTACCAATTCTTTAATACCACATTTCTGTCAAATAAATGCCAATGTCTTCCAACAGTTTATTTTCATATGAAGAGGTTGGATTATAAAAGTGAACTTTTAGATCACCACTGCATTGAAAGAGGCTATTTCTTTTCTAAATCTCTCCTTCAGAGCCACCAGAATCTCCATTTGCCCCTGCCGCCCACACAACATCAGCCTTCCCACGCACATCAACAACTAACACTCTTCCACGAAGCTCCCCAGAGCTTCTAACGGTCCCAGTGGTGAAGGGTCCAATGGGGTTTGGTTTCACCATTGCGGACAGTCCATATGGGCAAAAAGTGAAACAGATTTTAGATGCTCCTCGTTGTCAAGGACTACAAGAAGGTGACATCTTAGTGGAGATAAATGGGCGAATGATCCGGAGCTGTACTCACAATGAGGCTGTGAACATCCTGAAGGAATGCCCTAAGGGACAAGAAGCATTTATTAGAGTTCAGAGGGGAGGTAAGTCCCACGAACAACTCTAGCCTTATGGCAAGTCTGTTGTTTTGGAATGCAAGTGTTGTGTAACTTCTGGGCATGACAGTTTACTCTCACAGTACTTCTCTCTCAGCCAAGGAGTGCAAATGGGTACCTGTGAATTGTTAAGGCAACCTGACCAGGCTGCAGTTGACAGACATTCCATTCATGGAACTAGTACACTGTAGTACCCCTGACTGCTCTCCGCTACAGAAGCTGGTTTGACATCCAAAATTGACGCGTATGTCTGCCTCACCCCTGACCCCTCCCCCTCTCCCTCTCCCTCCCCCTCTCCCTCCCCCTCAACCCTCCCTTGACCACCCCTTAGTCTGACTTCCTGGATTCCTTGTGGTATAACTATTTCAACTGGGCCACTTGGAACAAAATTAGCCAGTCAAAACATTACAATACATGTAATTGAGAACAATGGGTGACCACATTTGTTGTGAACGAACCAATAGCGTTAAAGAATACAATACTGCTACTAAAAACAACAGTTTTTGAAAACTAACAATGTTGCAAACCTCTCAGGAAACTTTGTAACTTTTTTACTTTTTCGTTTGGGTGGTAATTCATGTTAGGCAGTTTCCACAACAATTTCAGTTTGACTGTAGTAACCTCTCTATGTTGTGATGAATTTAACGTTAATTAAATCATTTAATTACAGGAATTCCAACACCACTGAGGAACAGCCCTGCATTTGGAAGAAGAGAACAGGTAACTAAACTGCTTGATTGTTAATCAAGTGGAGATTTCCGAGTTACCTTTTGCCTGTGTCAAAAGAGTCTTTGTGCAGAACCATTCATAAGAAAATGTGTTCCCCTAAAATTTCATTTTCATGCAAATCAAACTCATTTTCATATGAAAGGTTCTGTGCTAAGACTCGTTTTGAAACAGAGGCACAACGTAACTCGGAAGTTATGGCCTATTACTCTGCTGGCAAGATAAATCAAGAAATGTTTGTTTTGTTTTGTTTTGCAATGAATTTCTGAGCTTATCACGTACAGTAGCTGCACACTAACATCTGATTGGTTGTTATGTGCGCGCGAAAATTCAAACTTGAGCAAGAGCCAATCAGAAAAACCACAAGGAGTGACATCATCCGTATGGCATGTTTTGGCCTGAAAAGGAAAGGAAGAATTGAGTGACATGCAAGGAAAAACATTTGTGTCATCAGTCTAGAATTGTTTTTACTCATCTTTTACCGTTGTTTTCTAGGAGCCTGAGCCTATCGTTTCGAGAGTTGCCCGTCCAAAGTCCACCCCCGTGATGGGTTCAAACCACGTGGGGTACAGGCAGGTGGAACATGGAAGCACGGGGAACCTGGCAACTACTGGAGAAAGCACAAGAAACCAGGAGACTGGGTACGAGAACCGAAGGCTTGGTCAACCAACTTTGGACAAAAGTTCTGAGGCCTTGTTCAATTCTTATCCTTCACTCAAAAAGGCTGTTGCTAATGCGGCCAGGAGGTAAACTTTTAAATGCTTTTGTTCGGTTACTGGTGATAGCTAATTAAAATAGTTAACAGCGTGAATGTTTAGAAGTACCTTGAGTAACTGTTAGTGACTTACTTTTGAGCGGTACTGTACTCTCAAGATCATAATAGGCTTTGCTAGCTTCGTAGTCATTTTTTCGTTTTCAATTTTGACTGAAAGATTGGAAACCGGTTTTTCAGGTCAATGGAAAACTTGAATATACCTGAAGTGGAGCCTCCCCCGGCAAGTCCAGACGACATTAATTTCACTGTTCACCTTCAGAGAGGCGAGATGGGCTTTGGCTTCCGTATTATTGGCGGTCAAGAGGAGGGGACTCAGGTAAGGGGGGAAAGCGGTGAGGGGTACAAATGCTGTTATGTTAAAGAGTAAGAGAGATCGTCTCCAATATAGGCTCTATTCTCAAGGTAGTCCCTTAAATTATTTCAAGACATAGTACCCAATGCTCCCGCGGATTATCTTACCGCGCGCGATTCGTGGATGTTTTCGGGGAGTATGAAAGTGCATGTAAAGTCGCTTGGGCTGTTCACGTGGGTAAAATTTGCGTCACAGGATTGGCTACCTTTAATCCTGATTAGGTACAGTATAGCTACAGTTACAGAGTTTTTTGTCATTTATCCAGTGCTCAGAATGGATTAGTCTCCAAACACGTTCTTTTTCCTCCCGTTTTTATATTAAAGTGTCATTGCGTAACGCGCGAATAGGCCATTCCCGAGTTGCCTTTTTCCTCTGTGTCAAAACGAGTCTACGTGTGAAACAATTCATATGAAAATGAGTTCTGCCTACAGGTTCATTTTCATGCAAATCAAACTCATTTGCATAAGAAAGGTTTTGCACGAAGACTCGTTTTGAAACAGAGGCACTCCTCTGAAAGAGGTAACTCGGCGTATTGGCGAGCGCAAACCACTCTTAATTCCCCCGCTCGGCCAAGTTTTTTCTCAAGGTAAGTCTATATATGAAGTGTCTAATATCCTTGAAATTAATGGTGTTTCTTTCTATAGGTGGCCGTAGGTACAATCGTCCGGGGGGGACCTGCCGACCTGAACGGTGATCTCCGGCGTGGGGACGAAATTCACTACGTGGATGGAATGAACGTAATTGGATCCACACACCGCCGCGTGATCTCACTCATGGGTAACGCCGCTTTAGCTGGTGAGGTCACATTGGGTATCCATAGAAACCCCGCAAGATCAGAAAGTAAGTGATTTGATCAACTTTTAGTTTCTCCTTATCTTGTTGATACATTTTCAAGTAAATGGTGATGAGAATTAAGGAATATATCAATAAGACTTAGGGGATATGATCTTGATGAAACGTTTAATTCTTTGATCTGTCATTAAAACAAGCATTTGGCATTATATGGGGAGAATTGGGATTTGAAACGGTCCTGTTACATTTGGATCCTTTAGCTTCGAATTCTCGTTGTCGTTCTAAGAATCTGGACAAAATAAAATTTCACACAAACAGAAATTTACTTTTTCCTAAGAACATTGCATAGTTTAAAACGTTTGTTTTGTTTGTCAAAACTATTTGTATCATCAAGCTAGTGCTTGCCAATTTACCTTACTACAATTGTACCTTCGATTGAAAAGAAATCTTTCTTTCATATCAGTATATCGATTGTGAATTGTAACTACAATTCACACTGTCGAACCTAAATTATTTAGTTCCTTTAGATTCATATTTCCAATGATGTTTATATCCACATTCTCGATTATCTAGACTACGTTGTACTTTTAGGAGTTTAATTTTATCAAAGTGAAAATTTATAATCGAGACTTGACAAAACTGTTGTAAGAGTGCAATCCGTTTAACAATGAAGTCCGCTTATAGAAGATTTCAAAATGTAGCGTTTGAGATCTCAATAGAGCTAGAAACAGTGTAGCGCCTCTGTAATAATATTGACAGTTCAAAACTGATTGTTTTCTTGGACGCTAAGACTGATGAAAATGTCGATACGTTTCAGGACTGCTGTGATTTTTCCGTTGATGAAGGGACAGTAGACTTGAAACGTATGGACTTTTTTACTAGTATAAACGCCCGAAAACACGCAATTTTGAGCTGACGAATTTTTTAGTATTTGATTTGTCCTCCTGCGGAGGTAACTTATTAAGGATAGATGTTAAACTTAGTTAATTATTTTAACCCTCCGATCATTGCTTCCGAAGGATTGTCGTCCTCGGGTATGATGCGTCGTTCCCGATCGGCATCATCGGAACTCTCCGAAGGGGCCCTGGGGGGAATCAAAGCTAGGGAGGGGTCGAAATCCATGGGGAATCTTAACCAGTACGGGAGGAGACCGTACCCCGATCAGGAGGAAACGTCTTCAATGCGGAGCTTTCATTCTACCCCTGGGGATATCTTGACGGCCGGTGGGAAGTCATCTCAACGGAACAGGAGCGTGAGTGAGAGTGACGCAAACGCTGAGCCCCAGGGCCCCACGTACTATCGCGACATCACACTGGAAAAGGAAGACAACGAGTCGTTTGGTTTTGTAATCTTGTCATCAGTTCAGAAGACTGGACCAACCATAGGTAAGGCCTGGCTCACAAACAACGACATAATCGCTTAGGACTAGTCCACACTCGCGACATAACGACATAAACGACAGAATGACATAACGCCTTAATTGCTTGTGTCAATAATGTGAACAGCGACATGAAAACAAGGAAAGTCTTTTTTCCTGATACCGTTATGTTTATGCTGTCATGTCGCTATTATGTTGCTATGTCAGTGTCTGGATGTTCACACTGCAAACATAACGTCCATCTTATCTCGTTATGTCGCTAGTATGAACTAGGCTTGAGAAATAATAATAGTAAAAAATAAATAGTAAATAACATTATTCAAGTGTCAGATGTATTTAGCACTGTTTTGTACTAATTTGGGATACTGTAAATAAATAAACATTACAAATATTGCAATTAAGGACCCCAACTGGTAGGAGGCCAACTAGTTGGCTATTTACACAACGCGGTCAAGGAGTTGAACTCGAGACTACCGAGAACAAATCCAGATAGAAGTAGGGTGGAGGGGTGGTGGAGGATTTGAACGAGGACCATCCACGAAAACCAGCACTCCGTTTCCATTTTGATCTTGACATACAAACATTTTACATCGATTGAAGATTGAAGCGCAGCCTGGATGAGGCATAATCGAGATTACGATAAAAACGTTCACTGGCAAAAGAATTTCATAAAAGAACTTGAGCTTTCGGCTGTCAATCTGCAGCCTTCGACGGATAAAAATGAAATGCAAAATGATCTATACTATACTATACTATACTATACTATACTATACTATACTATACTATACTATACTATACTATACTATACTATACTATACTATACTATACTATACTGTACTGTACTGTACTGTACTGTACTATACTATACTATACTATACTGGTATAGTATTCTTTTTAAATAATAGTCACCAATTTACACATTTTTACTTTGCTTTTGTTCTTATTATTTTTATCTCGCCTTTTCTTGCATATATTTTTCATTTTGCATTCCATTTTTTATCCGTCGAAGGCTGTAGATTAACAGCCGAAAGTTCATGTTCTTTTGGAAATTTTTAAGCCAGCGAACGTTTTTATCGTAATTTTGATTTTATATCGAGTTCATCAGAGCTCTTCTATGGGTTCTGTCCTCGTGTACCGGTTGACAAGAACCGATACAAAAGACCCAACAATGTTCAACAGCTAAACAAAGGTTCGTAAAGAAAGGAGTACAATGGTTATTCCCTCTGTGTACCGGTACACCAGGACACAACCCTTCCATGTTTCACGGGTAAATAAATCTTCTTGTTATACCTCCCAGCTCAAATACGTTTTTCGATTGGAGGAGAATGTGTCACGTGTCGTGGGTCAAAACTCACTCACTCCCTAGGGCGAACAAAACTCACTAACTCCCTAGGGAAACAACAACTTGAACTTTCGACTCGCACGTGGTCAGGTCGTGCTCCTTGAAACCGCGGCAAATTTGTGAGCCAGTCGGTGTCAAGCAAACGATTTCTTCGCAGTTTTTCTCTATTTTTAAGTTGGGAGGTATAACAAAACACTTAATGACTGGTCCCCCGGGAAACAGTGAGTTTTGTTTCCCCTAGACCTCAATGTTCCCCTCGGCTCCGCCTTGGGGAACATTAAGGGTCTCGGGGAAGCAAAACTCATTGTCTCCCTTGGGGCCAGTCATTAAGTGCTTATTGTTCTGACATTTAAGTTTTTCAGTTTTGCGGGGATCAAAGGTACCTTCCGATCACGCCTTAATCACGTGTCTCTTGTTTGTTAACAGGTCGTATCATTCAAGGCAGTCCTGCCGATCGCTGTCGTCAGCTGCACGTGGGCGATCGTCTCGTTGCGGTAAATAACGTCAGTATTGACGGTGTACATCACAGTGATATTGTGGACACTATTAAACAATCTGGAAGAACTGTCACGCTTAGAATTGCTCAGCAACCTCCATTGGGTAAATACTACTTTTTATATCATGTCATAGAAAATACAGCCAATCAGAATACTCTCTTGTCTATTCGACGGTATTACATGGAACCTTCCCATCATGCTCCGCGCGTATGTTGCATTGGTTGTGTTGACCACTGCATTTTCTGTGGCATTGAAAATAGTCATAAAACACTCTCTCGTAGTACACCAGGGAATATCCTACTTGTCACATATCTCTTCCTTGTATACACACCAGCCCTTAGGCGAGAGTGTGTACCGAGAAAATTCAAGTGACTCGTGGGATATTCCACGATATATCACGAGCGAGCGTTCCATAACTAGTATTTATGTGGCTATTTACAACTACAATATGTGGCCAATTTTTACGAGAATTAGACGCTTTCTTTCTTGCGCAAAATTTGAGACCTAAGCTAAATTTGTCACCCACCCACCCATCCGTCCCTGAATTGATCAATTTGTGTCTGTATCTCTATAACTTTTTGATTACTACAATTGCAGGCTCGGCCCGAGGAGGGGAGGGGAGGGGGTGTTTTTTTTTCTGTTTTGATAACTAGGATATCTTCAACACGAAAGAGTTGTTAGTCTCGTTTAGTTTTGTCTAGGATTTTAGGATAGCATTGCGAGTGTCTACAAACCACTCTCTAACCTTTGAATAGAGAGATTTCAGGCTTTCGAGTTCTAGGAATTGTCTTCGCTGATGAAATGTTTTTATGAGTTAACTGATTAACTGGTCAACTTTGGTGTATGCTGCTGCAAAGGAATGGAATGAACTTCCCAAAGACCGGCGTGCTTTTAGCACGCTAGGAATTTTTAAAATTAAAACTTTTACCTTTTTAATAGAATTAGATAAGGCACAACACAAATGTAGTGCATAGGTTTTTGTACATATTTAGTAGTTTTTTATTTCACTTTTACCTTAACTTCTATTAAAAGTAAATTGTATTTTATGTACTGGTCACCGGTTCATACCAGCGTCTTTATATTGAATTCCCTGATCTTTTTTCTTTTTTTTTCAGTATAAATAAATCTTTTATTATTGTTATTTTATTATTATTATTCGTGGCATACTGTAAATATCTCGCTCGTGAATTGATTTTTCATTATATATTCCCTAGCCTAAAGGTTATTGTTGTTATCTATGCCGAAAGTTCAGATCATTCGGCCAATAATTTGCGGTATATCACAAGAGAGCAGTCAATTTCTTTGATTGTATCCTCCTTGTCAATCATTTACAGTGGTATGGACTTTGAAGACATTTTTGAACGCTAGCACCACGTGATTCGTTTATTTCTTGGTTTGTTCTTTTACGCAGATAACACTGAAGCTAAAAAATTATCTCGAATGGTAAGTAAACAGTTTATTACATTGTAAAAGTACCAACAATTTCTTAGAGTAAGAGTATTAGTTTGAAATGGTTTTAATTTAGAGCTCGTGTCCCGCCTGGTTATCAAAAGTTCTCCTCCTTAATTTCTTTATTACATGCACCAAATGCCACCAAATATACAAATAAATTGGAAGAAAAGACTCTACAGAGCGAAGCAGACAAGTATTTGAGAGAGGAAGTACAGGATTACAAGGATAGGAGTGGATTACAGTTTGTCAAATTTGATTTTGTGACAGGTTGCCAAGAAGTCAAACTTGCCAGTGTAGTAAAATTTGAAATCTCTTTGTCATTATGTGTTTTCTTTTTCGTTGATATTTCCTGACTTTCACGAAATATTCGCGTTTTTTTTTTCCTTTGTATTGCAACACAATAGAGCAAGATGATGGCGAGCTCTAGGCAATACTTATTTAAACGCGATATAACAGCCGTGACGGTTAAAATGTTTTCATTCATTCGTGCTATGAAGTAATGTGTTATTCTGTGCCGTCTTACATAGAGTGTACCGGACATTGCTAAAGCAAGTAACACTTATGAAAGTGAAAGAGACGGACGAAGAGACGCTGACCATTGGAACCGGGACAGGCCATACTCGGAACAGGTAGAACACAGTTCTGCTAATGTTGATTTGACTTCGTGAAACACTTCTAAATAAATTGCTTAAATGAGGATTAACCTGCCATAGTAGATTTCTTCTTAGCGTAGAAAGCAGACTTTGAGAAAGTTTACACACTTTCTTTTTTATGAGAATATAATTTATAAGTCTAGAATATCGAGGCTGAAATTTGCGAAATTTAAAGAATATTTTAAGAAGAAACCCGAGGCGAAGACTCTGAAAAGAATATAATTTTGTGCGTTGAAAATATGTAAATACAATAAAAAAGAAACGTATAAAATTCTTCCCTTCTTTAAACAGCAAAACTAGCCAAAAAACAAGAAAAACATCACTAGCCGTATGTTCGATGCTAGTAACACTTCTGCGAGAAGTTATGTGCGTCATATTAGACTTTAACGCCCGCAGGCTGGCTCCAAAATTACATTCGAAAACAGAAATGTCACGCGCTATAATCTAAGAATATTCGCAAGAATATTTTCAGCTTAAAATCGGCAGAAAAATAAGAATATTCAGCCTCGGACGGAAAAACAATACTCTCATTAAAAAAGATTGTATTAATCGTCTTATAGGAACGGACTGAAAATTTCCTGATTACTTTGCCCTTTTCTTTGCCAGGTTTTGCCGGATCGTACAAGAGATGAAAGCCGTTTCCAAAGCTATCCTAGAACACTGAATCACAATTCGGATATTCCTAAAAGAAACAACACTTACGGAAGTGATACAAACACTAGAAGAGACGCTGACCAGTGGAATAGGGATAACGCATATTCAGAACAGGTAGAAAAAACAGTATTTTAATTCTTGATTTTACTTCGTGAAATACACTTTATTGCGTTAAAGAGATAAATTAGTATAATTTAGAAGAAATTAGTATAACTTAGTATAAATTAGTATAAGTTAATATACATTAGTATAAATTGACTTTTTGGAAGGGAATACAAGTTGCATGTTTACTTTGTTCTTTTCATTACCAGGTTCTTCCGGACCGTACAAGAGTCGAAAGCCGTTTTCAAAGCTTTCCCAGAACACAAAACCACAATTCACAACTACCGCCAAAAGTTCCCCCTAGAGTCGCCCCCAAGCCCTCGCGAGAAAGAGTGCTCATGGCACGAAAAGAAAACAGTGTTAATGCCGTTAGAAGCGACATACGCAGAAGATCGAACCCTGAAATTCCCTCCAGACCACCCCCACCTTCCCAGAATTACTCGGGAGGGATGCGAGATGAGCGAGAGTCGAGGTTCCAGACAATGGAGGTAGAACTGGGTCGAGACCACCAAGGGTATGGGTTCAGTATCAGAGGAGGAAGAGAGTTGAACCTACCGATATTTGTATTGCGCATGGCTGAAGGAGGTGCAGCTGAGAGAGATGGCAGGCTCAGGGTAAGTGAAGAAGTTCAAAATATTTGTATTGTGCAAAGTCACATCTTTGTTTGTGCATTACGCCCATTGCCATGATCTCAATGTCTTCATGCTGTTTTGTTTTTCTGTCGCACGTTCCTCTAGGTGGGAGACGAGATTTTAGAAATCAATGGAAGGAGTACAGAGAATATTCCACACGCTGAAGCAATAGCCCTGATCAAGAGCGGCGGCAACAGAGTTCGCCTTTTGATTCACAGATCTAACAAACCTGTTTACCACGGTAAGCCTTATGAATTTGCAGTCAGCGGTAAAACATTTTGACTAAACTTCACTCTGAACTTGAAACGTTTTCTTGCCATGACGACAGATGGAAGTGTGACGGATAACGCGCCGGCCTCCGGATCGAGCGGTCCGGGTTCGAGCCCTGGCTGGGGTCATTCCGTTGTGTTCTTGTGCAAGGCAATTTCTCTCACAGTGCCTCTCGTAGACCAGGAGTATCAGAGGTGTCAAAAAGTCCTTTCGTGAGCGTCGTATATGACATGTCAAAACAAGGTAGTTTATAATTATGGGAATTTTAGGAAATAAGGGAAACAAATGCAATTAAAACGTCTTTTCTTGTGTGCCCAGGCCGTCTTAAAGCGGTTTCCATAAGTTTTAGATTCGCTGTTGTTATATATCATTCCCGAGGAATAATATATAGAGGCTGAATTTTGGAGAGCGTGGAAAGGTATGTTATTGTATTTCTTCCCCGTATTTTCGACTACTGAATAAGGCCCGGTCCACAACTATCCGGATATTTTTAAATCCGCGACTTTTTCTTTCTGGAGACGGCTTCCGTCCACACGCATCCGGCGAATTCGGCAGCGAATCCGGATATATTTGCTACGTGTGGACAGGGAAATTTTTGAATCCGGAAAGAAAAATTTGCGGATTCAAAAATATCCGGATACGTGTGGATGGGGCCTTAGTTAGTTGCATTCCCATACAAATTCGTGTTGTCTCGCATTATCATATAACGAGGCTTGCGTAACACGCTCGCGATACCTGACGGCAAAAATGTTTAGGAAATATGACAAAAATGCTGGAGAGTAAACTACGATGAACTAACAGGGGGAATAGAAATATTCCAGAAGGAATAGAAATACTCCTGGACGTTGTAACCTGCACAAACCTTGGATAAGCCTAAGTATCGAAAGTCGCGTGATTGCCACTCTGTCGTCACGTGGTTGTCGCGTGCTCGTCTCACGTGACATCAGGCCTGATTTGTTTCGTTTCTTTTTATAGATGGTATTCCAAATGGCGGACAGAGCATTACAAAGGGCGGAAGCCTACCGCGGGCGACCTGGAAAAATCCCTCTTACAACACCATGTACCAGTAATGAATAGTCGCACGACGTAATTTTTCACTTGAGCTGAAAATCGTGCAAAATTGTTTTCGTAGATAAAACTATTTTATGATACCTTAAAGTTTTTATGGTAATTGTAAGTTGATAATTTCCATATCTTATTAGATATTTTATCATAGATGGGTATTTTCGGCTGTAAATTCGTGATTTGTCGCCGATTTCTTGACCGGTAGATATTCCCCGTATTTAATTGTGATATTTTAACTGCTCTGTACATATTTCATAACATACTTTTAATCTTTGACCATACGTCTTTAAGACACTTTGTGTATACATTGGTGAGGGATTTGCCTTCGCTGTGTATTTTGTTTGTCTTTTTTTAGCAAAAGAGTTTTCAATTGAGGACCCGTTGTTTAAGGAAATAGTATGTGAGAAATTTGCTGGCTTCTTTTTTCACTTTTTGGGCCATCACCTCTTCAATAAGCCATTTCCAAGTTACCTTTTTACTCTGTGTCAAACCGAGTCTTTGTGCAAAACCAGTCATATGGTAATGTGTTTCGCCTACAGGTTGGCTTTGATTCAAATCAAACACATTTTCAAAAGAAAGGTTTTGCACAAGGCCTCGTGAAACAGAGGGACAAGGTAACTCGAAAATGGCCGATTGATTACTAATCTTCTTTGTCTATATTGAAACTTTTGTATAGTCTTTAGTTTAAATCAACGCCCAAAGTATGTTTAAGAAATGATTTTTCCAATAATCATTTGCTTTTGAGCGTGCGGCGCATTCCAACCTCGTTGCTGAGTAACCGTTTCCCCCCCCTCCCTCCCTCCCTCCCTCCCTCCCCCCTTCCTCTCCTCCCCTTACCCCCTCTCCCCCAACTATATATTTTGTCGTCCAAAATGGTAGCATTGTTCGATTTTACGGAAGATCGCAAACTAGAGGTTGAAAACATGTCGGTTGATTACTATTATGTTAACTAAATGTAATAAATATAGACAGTAATATGATTTTAAACGATTTGGGCTGAGAAAAAGGTCTGTGTGAGTGATTGATTCCAGCTTGTTTGCACACATTACTTAGTGAAGTAGGCTAGTTTATGAGGTCGTTATTATGAGTTCTATTAAATGATTGAGGCATGATAACAAGCGAACCACTTGAGGAACGACAGAGAGCGGACGTACTTGAGACGGTTGAGCAGGCGACTTGCGCATAAACCGACACGGAGCCGAAGCGTTCCGAGAGCATTCGGGGAACATTCGGGTTGCAGTCGCACCTTCGCAGTTCAAACGTCTCGTTTTCGTGTGATTTTGCGTGATAACCGCTGGAGAGCAAGCTCATGTGCGGACTTGGTTTTGCCCCAAGAGCGCCTTTAATGCAATTTAGGGTTTTGTTTTTCGCTTTTTTTCTTTTTACGCCCTACGTGTTTTTTTCTTTTTTAAATAAAATAACCGCCAGCGTAGTCATGCCCTTTTATCACCAATATTAAACAAGTTAAAACAAGATTAAGATTGTTTAGTGAATTAGTGCATAATTAATTCCAGGTGTGGTTTATTAGTTAACCAAACAGTATTCTTGATATGGGCATGGTATAATTGGTTGCTTGCACGATGATTTACCAATCAGATCTGGCTTTACATGCTGACTATTTTATAATGTGTTATCATGCCTTGGGGTTGATTTGTGCAGATATTAGGGGTTTGTGGTGCCAAGATTTACAATTACACCAATTACAGATAAATAATTATGATATTAGGAAATTACAATATTTTAAGGGAATTTTATGACATACTTTATGTTGTTCATTAATTGTGGAATGAGGTTGGTAAATGGAATATTTCACGACTAATTTTAAGCATAGTGTATGACTGGTGGATTTGCAGGCATTTTCCGACGGAGTGAATGTAAGCTAATTAGATGAAATATGAAGTAATTAATTAATTGATGCATTTAAAGCGATATTTTCAATGTAAGGATTGTTAAAACTTTTTACCTTTACAATGTGTAGTATACCTACACGAGAGAAGATGAAGAGTGAGAGTTAATTCACCATATAGGCCTTATTACAAGTTATTTTTAGATATGGTACCAGTTCCGCGGATAACGTTAGCACGCGTGTTGCGTAGATGTTTTCGTGGAGCACAAAAATACGTGCTTAGTAGCTTGGGCTGTCAACATAAGCAAAATGCTTGTCACAGAATTTGCTTTTTCTAGACCCTCTTGAGATTTCTGAAACCCGGCCTATTTGAAGGGGTGACTCTCTGTTACCCTTCATGCTCTCTTGCCTACATAATAACCGTAGCACAAGTAGCCAAATAGGCCATTTTATAGTTGTGTGCATAGTTACCTGGCCTATGAATGCAAGCGAGGCTGGAGGTGACCTTGCTTTGATACAGACCTCTCTGCTTTTCTCATCTAAATGCAAACTAGTTAACATAAAAACAACTTGATTTGCACAATAAAAGAAGTGAGGTCTGTATCTAAAAGAGGTCACCTCCAGCCTCGTTGCCATTCAAAGGCTAGGTCACTGAGCAGACAACTGTGAAATGGTCTATTGTGGTCTAGCGACGGGATGTTTTTTGTGTTTTCTATAGTTCCAGGATTGTCATAGAATCCCCGTGTTCACATATGCAGTTGTAAATTGTAAAATTGAATATTTTAGTGCCAGCTAATAATTTCTGATAAACGATTGTACATGCATACTTGTTAAAAATCAAATAAAGAAACCGTTCACATAGTCGAGCGTGTCGGACAGTTGTAAGATCGAGTATCATACCCGCAAGGAAGTCGAAAGAAAATTCAGTATTTATGCATGACTCGATTGATTATTTTAGTGCTGTCTAAATACGTCGACGATATTTGTAGACAATTCCATTTTGGAGATTAGATTTTTAATTAATACCTCAGGATTAAGCACGCGTAAACAAACATTTGCAGCATTATATTAACACTATCTTATTACAAAATAGTCGCTATCACAATTGAGGTCACATTTACTTAAAATGTTTTCAAAAAGGAATATAGCAATAGAATGTTTATTTTCCATCACTTCCATCGCAGTCTTGCTGTGCGATTAAGTTATAAATTCTCTTTAAAGAAGATCACTTGTATTTTTAACGTCGGTTCTGGGAATTGGGTCGTTGATCAAGGAAATTTATTCTAGTCAATAATTTTCTTAATTCTCATCACCTGTCGTCTCGACAGTGTGTTGATATTGTAAGGAAAAATTAGATTTTAACTGAATTCTAAGAATTAATCTAAGGATTATTTTAATTTATTAAGGGCGTATGATCGTTTGCGTAGCTGCAACTATATTAACAAATTAATACTTCGGAACCAATTTTAAATTATGTTTTCCTTGACGCTGAAAATTCTTAAACATGTGAAATTGAAGAAGGAAGCTAGAAGCTCGTACAAACTCTCTTCAAATGTACATAATTTTTTAAAAATTTTCGAGCCAAAAAGTGAATTATAGTGAAGTTCGGCCTTTAGTTGTAGGAAACATTTAAATACAGGCATCTCATTGCTTAATTCTTTCTCGACAGAATGTTTATTTCAGATAAATCAATTTTATAAACAAACTTATCAAGTATTTATTATTCTTATTAGATTCATAAAGAAAATTAGCACCTTTGCAAATATTATAACCAGTTATTGTGACATTTTCTACTCGTCCTCGCATTCAAAGACGTCCTTGAAACAAAGGAGAAGACATCGCCGGTCAACCCATATCCCATCACTCGAAAATGACATCGTTCTTGGTAAAACCCGCCCTTCTTGCATTCTTATGCTGGCAGATATTTCAAGGTGAGGTTTGAAAGTTATATTTTTTTTAAACGTGTTCATAGATTCATAATTCTAAAACTTCACTGCCGGGAATTTTCCTTTTCTTCCACGTTTCGTAAGCAACCACAATTCGGAAGATGCCATTCTTTTCTTCATGCATTTCAGTAAATGTATCTTGAAAACGTGTCATAAGACGGGTTGTAGCGCAAAATTCAAAATATCTTCTACTTTTCTGTACGTAAATCAACGTAAAAAATAAAATCAAAAATTTCTTGTCAAGACATTGTACATTTGCGGTTGCAACGCTTTCCTTTTTTTAGGTAATAAGCCTCGTTGCCTTGGCTGACGGGTTTTTATATATAGAAAACGGATTGCATTTAAAAATGCAATTATTTATTCGCGTTTATTGCTGCACAGGAACACAAAACGTGCATTTTCCTTTCTATAAGGAATCCCTTTTTAGTTAATATTCTTAAGGTAATTCCCTTGAAATTCTTCTACTATCAAACTTTTTTTGAAACTTGGCATAATTAACATTCATGATATGAACATTAAAAAAATGCAATAAAAAAATGGGGTCGCCGTGATTGTTTACGCATCAGCAGGCTCTTAAAATGGGGTATTTTTACTGGTTGCGCGTTAAAATTTCGAATCACCTTCAAACAGAAATAAGGCTTGTTTACTTGAAAGACACACAATTTTATCTTGAAAGTAAAGCTTCTTTTATTCACATAAGTAGTATTGCTTCATTTAAGCCGTTTTTGATTGCCTGGTTGTGGGAATATTGCACCTTTTCGGACAGTTCCGTGGTTAGCTTGAAGTCCTCGCCTTGGCCAAAATACACCCAGTACGGAACTATTTTCTAAAAAGAAAAATCATGTTCTACTATCAAACTTTTTTTCTTACTCAAATATGTTCTTTATTTGACTGTTCTTAGCAAATACCTGAAAAAAAAAAAAAAAAAAAAAAAAAAAAAAATTCCGGAGTCACCCTGCTCGTTTAAGACAAAAGGAGCATTTATTTCGCTATCGAGCTTAGTTTGAGGGAAATCTCTTACGTTTTGTACGTGCACGCGCTCATGTGTGCGCGCTAATGACGCGAAAATCGTGCGCAGTAGGGATGCGCAATGCAATACTAAGGAATCACCTTAAGTAGTAACATCCCTAGTTTATGTACGGTTTAATATTACTTCTTTGTGAGTTTTCTATCTAGAGAAGCTGAAAAGATTTCAACTGCTAGTTGAGAACGTTCAAACTTTTAACTTTGAGCTGAAAAAAATGACTCAAATAGCTGATAGCTGAGAAATGGGCTGAAATTTTAAGCGATAGCTGAGAATAGCCGAACATTAAATAACTGAGATTCCATCACTACCTTAAGACTCACTTTTCAATTTGGAAAAAAATCCAGACTTGAATTCACGACCCTCCGTGATCTACCCGGACGCTCTAACCATTGGAGCTGCCTGAGACTCTTTGGTAAGCGAGGGTGAAATGAGGGTCTTTGACTGAAACCGCATCGCGTTTTTTTCTTTTTTTTTTTTCCGAGATGATGTTAATTCTAAATTAAAATTCCTTATAATGCTCACTTTGAAAGGTGGTTGGTTGTATCTTTGGTATTCCATAATGTGACTGCGCGGTGCAGTTCATGATTTCATATGTCCCAAGTCATCATTTGGCTGTGTGACTGCGCGATGCGGTGTTAGTCAAAGACCCACATTTCACCCTTGCCTCCAGTAGCTCAATGGTTAGAGCGTCCGGCTAGATCACGGAGGGTCGTGGGTTCAAATCCCATCTGGAATTCGGATATTTTTCCGAGTTGATGTTATTTCTACATTTAAAATTCCTTATAATACTCTTCAATTCGAAAGTAATTTTGTACATCATAAAAATTCCTTAAGATATTGTGGCATAGCTTAATATTTAATAAGTTCTGTTGTAGACGAGTTTCACGTTAAAGATGCTGGGTCATATAAGTCAGTGAACTTGATTAGAACTAAGAGAATCTTATACGATCTCGATCTCGATGTTTCAGCTTGATGTAACTCTTCCTAGATTTAAAATATAAGTCTCACATTGTTTGAATTTCTCTAAAGGCGAAGCTGCTTGGTATCGAATCAACTATGGTCACCATCCCGTATGCTTCGAGGCCAGAAACAACCGTCCAGGTCACGTGATATACCGAGGTGCGCAAGGCATGCTCGTCGGTGCCCTGAAGCTTGTTTACAGAAGCGGCGAGGTGAGGTGCGTCTCTGACGTCGCCTATAACAGCCGCTGGGGTTGCCATGGTTACAGCTCCTTTAAGGCATACCCTTTGAACGTCATCATAACCGACAGACACGACAACGTGATATTTCCCCTGCAGCAGTTTATAAAGCATGGATCAGGATTGTGGTACACCATGCCCGTAGTGGACGATAAGCCTTCTGACGAGCTGGTCTTCTCCAACTTTGACTACCTGCTGTATCTGCATCCATATATGGAGCTTAGGGTCTGGTTCGGCGAACACTTGAAGAACTGGTCCGAAAGCGATAACCAGGGATGGGTGTGTGTTGATGTTTTCGCTTACGTCATCGGGGACATAGGAGCGAATGCTGGAGGATCTCCCGGAGGAGGGACCTCACGAGCGCAAGCCCTGCTGAAAAACCTGAAAACGAGCCTGAGTAGCATCATGCAGAAGAACTGGAAGTAAACACAAAGTAAACAGAAGAATACGTTGTTAGCATGTGCATGATTGTAAACAGCTATTGTTATTTGAAAAGCTAGTGTAAAATAAAAAGCTTGTCAAAGCATCCCCTTGTAGTTTTTTCGGTTATATAGATTATATTACTCACTAAACTGCCTCCTTCGTTGAAAACTAACTCAAGACTGCAATAGGTTTGCTTTTTATCAGATTATCAGTCTGCTGTTCTTTAAAACAATGCGTTGCATGACTAATGAATTGCTGATCACAGGGTAACCACTTACCTTGATCACAGGATTACCGCTTATCTTGATCACAGGTTTACCACTTACCATGATCACAGGATTACC